CGCTGACAAAAGAACACAGGCCAGCCTGTGCGGGATCATGAGAGGTGTGAGCTTAGAGGCTCTTGTTGGAAACTTGGCCCTGAGTTAGTTTTCACAGACTTATTGAATTGAAGAACGTTTTGCCATGCAAAAATGCTCTCAGACACTGAGTCAGGGTAGCCGCAAGCACAGCAACCACAGACTGCAAGATCTCCTATCTTGCCATCAAGGAGTTTGAGCTCACGCTCATTATAGCATGTCTGTTTCCTGCCTGTTAAACGAGTTCAGGTACCAACTACACAAATATTGCATGTAAGAATACCTTTTAAGGCAGAGTTTAAAAGTATCGCTCATACTGCAATTCATCTATGGAAAGGATTTCTTAGTTTTTCAAACATCTTAACAGTAACAATATCTACACACTGAAGCCCAAGACATGGAAGTTTTAAATAGTCTACTGTTTTTCATGTTCTCACAAAAAGTGTCTAAAAATAAGCTGATTATTTTGAAAGAATCTGATGAGTCACTGAAAAAATCCCAGTCAGATAAATTGGTTGCACTGAATTATTAGAGCAGCTCTAATTACCAGTAAGAAATGATTCATGTTAATAAATATTCACCAGAGATGCTTACAGTCACCACCAAGGCACTCATCTTCCAGTCATGTTATGAACGTCTGGGCAACAACGCAGCCAAAGCAATGGTTTATCTTTCCCGGCCAAATCAAGTCATGGGAATTAGGCTTGAGTAAAGATTGAGTTAAAAACCACTTGGGACTTCAGAATGTGGCCCCTGTTGTACACCAAAAACTCTCACCCTCTTTAGTGGGAAGCCTGGGTGTGCAGGGAATGGAGGATTGGACCTCTGAAGACCAGTTAGAGGGAAATCCAGGTTTCTTCAGGAACAGAGCCAAAACTGATGCTATATCCTCACCAACTTGTCTCCAGACTCAGGCTCAGTCTAGCAGTCTGGAGATTCACATGGGGGTCACGTCCAAGTAGCTGTGCTGAACGCTGGGTGTGTGTGTGTGGAGGTGGGAGTAGAATCTTCCTCCCTAAGGTGAAATGGCACCTGTAGGCTTTTAGGCAATACCCCTGTAGCAGGAAAGGCTGGAAAAATGCACATCGCCGCAAATCTCCAGTGTTCCTCTTTTCTGAGCGTTGCCATGCTGGGGACTTGCATGGAACAGAGCCCTGTATTGAGTTCCCCTTTTTGTCTAGGTCATGGAGTCCATATGGCATAGTTAGAAACTTGTGATAAATAGCGAGGTCACACATCCTTGCATTTGTATTACAAGACCCAGCAATTCATTGGACTTGATATTTTTAGTCATTTGGAGATAAAATGTCTTGGTGCTGAAGCATACAGTACCCCTTTTGTGCCTATGAAGAGAAGTGGAGGTTTGAATTACCCATGTAGTGCCTGATGCAATGCCCATTGACTTCAATGGACGTTGGATCAGACCCTTGTAACATCCATGCACCTGCATTTATGACATTAAGCGAGCTCCAATGTTAGTAACTGGAAGCCAGCTTTTAATTTCAGTTCAGTGCAGCTTTACCATCAGAAATACATCAGGCTGACATTTCCAAAACGAGCAGATGATGCGGATGCCCAATTCCCATTGATTTTAATCAGATTTGGGAGGCCAGATCCCTTCAGTGAATGAAAATCTCAGCCTTAATGTCTTAAATTTAAATAACAAGGAGTCTGGTGGCACCTTAAAGACTAACAGATTTATTTGGGCATAAGCTTTCGTGGGTAAAAAACCCACTTCTTCCAATGCATGGAGTAAAATTACAGATGCAGGCATAAATATATATTGGCACATGAAGAGAAGGGAGTTACTTTACAAGTAGAGAACCAGTGTTGACAGGGCCAATTCAATCAGGGTGGATGTGGTCCACTCCCAATAATTGATGAGGAGGTGTCAATACCAAGAGAGGGAAAATTGCTTTTGTAGTGAGCCAGCCACTCCTCTCTTGGTATTGGTCCCTTCCCAGCAACATTGTATCTATTTGTTAATAATGGAAGGCCTGATTTTCAGAAGACTTCATGAGAAATTTTAGGTATTCAGCAATTTCCAAAAAATCAAGTCATAAATCTGCGGAAGGTTTAATCTCTTGTGTCTATATACAAGTATTGGAAAACAACATTGCTAATAAGAAACACATTAGAATTCATTCTGTTACCTAGCAGTTCTGTATTCTTGGGGAACCAGGGCACAGTACCCAGCCTGTCTGACTCATAAAAGACCTTTCCACCCCCAGCCTCTGTTTGTACCAAAACCGATCAGAAGAAAGACTTACAAAAATCAATGGAAAGGCAATGGGAGACACACCTAAATCCCTCGGACAAGGGTGACGGGATTAAGGAAACTCCCCTAGCCTCATTTGCATCAAAGATGGGACAGGGAGGCATCTCCATTAGCATACAGAATGGAGAACAGAGATTCCAAGGCAAAAACTGCACGGAACTCTGAGACCAAAAAAGCAGGGAAGCACTGCATGATGGGGGCATCTCTGCTCCAGATGTTAATGAACCCACGCCTGTACACACCCAGCTCAGTAGTTATCAGACCAATTCTAGTAATAAATCCTTCCTTGGTATTTAAAATAGTGACGCTTCCTAACTGCATTATGAGCTCCCTCCAAGGAACACGGCCCATAGCCAGGAATGATGAGCTTCCATTGTCTAGCCTGAACAAAACAACTTTGGTATACTCCCTTGAGCCATCAGTTTACCCATAAACAAATCTAGTGTTCTCCCTTGAACCACTGTTTTCAAAAACCCCTATGCATGCTCAAGTAAGTGTTCTGATGCCTGGATCCAAAATCTGCACCACTGGGACTTCATCTTCTCCTGAATATTTAAAAATAAACGGTACAAAAGATTTGAAGAGTCAGTTGTCAATCATTGGGGGGAACATACAGAGTATGGGGGAGATGTTGTTATGTCGGGGTTGGCAGCACACATAATACATACAGACTGTAATGTCTCCAATGGGGGGGTGAGCGGTGGGCAAGATCAAGACACAGTAGGTAAGCAGTGAGGGTCGATCATCCACACAGGGGGTGTAAATAGCCATGGGTACAAGTAGGTGGGCTGGGCAATGGTGATGGGGCGACCCTCACGTGGTGGGATTCAATTAGGTTGGGTAGGTTCAGGGCTCAAGAGGTAAGGCCCAGCGGGGAGGGGGGTTAATAGGTCCCTTCCCCCTTGCGGGTGAGCGAGGTCTCCCCGGCTCACTCTTGGCATTGGCGGTGGCCGGTGAGGTTGGGTGGGTTCAGGGCTCAAGGGATAAGGCCCATCGGGGGGGGTGTATATAGGCCCCTTTCCCCTTGTGGGTGGGGGAGGTCCCCTCGGCTCACTCTCGTTATCGGTGGTGGCCGGTGGGGTTGGGCTGGTTCAGGGCTGGGGGGAGGTGGGGGATATGGGTCCCTTCCCCCTTGCGGGTGGGCGAGGTCTCCCCGGCTCACTCACGGAATCGGCGGTGGCCGGTGAGGTTGGGTGGGTTCGGGGCTCTGGCGGGTAAGGTCCCGTACTAAATTCAGGTAAAGTCCTGCTGGCTCAAAGATATCTTTTTCAAAATGTAAAAAAGAATAGAGAATGATACCATTTTATATCTGATTCTGGTTTAGTCCAAGAAAGTAACTAATTAAATAAAAGAAATACTGGAGCAACAGTACAAATAAATTACAATGACATTACTATATTTGATAAGAACATTGAAAGTCTAATTTAAATAAAGAAATGCCAAGAATGTTTCAAGATACGATTTCTTGTAATCTTTTGCCCACTTTATCTAGGGACTGTAAGAGTCTGAAAGGCGTGAGATCTTATCACAGGCCATGTGCTGCCATCTGACAATTATTTGTTTTCGTTTTTTGTTTGTTTTTAATTTGTCCTCATGAGATATGCTGGATTGAAGGCACTGGACAGTACATATCTCCATTTATTCGCAGGTACAGTGTAGCCAGCAGTAATGAAAGTTTCTCAACACTGTCTCACCAGTATACCGCTACCTTGTCCTGGGGAGCTCTTAAGTAGTGCCAGAAGGTAGATCAGTCTCAGTGTCTCAATACCTTGCTTTTAATAAGGCAGCCAACAGTGCTGTGGACTCCTGTCTGCTAGGATCTGGACCAAACACTAATACTGAAAGATCAGCTCACAACTTAGACCCTGCAGTTCTATTTGCAAGGGATTGATGCCAAGCCAAACCCTGCAGTTATAAGGTTCAAGTTGAAACAAACTGTGCAGGAATCATCAAAAATAGTCATAAAGGTACTAGATGCTATGTCTTGCAAGATTTGTTAAGTACAGTACAAGATTTGAACAAACAAAGAATCAAACATTTGAAATATATGTTTCCATGAATTCCAGACCTGTACAGTAGCTTGATGCAGGGGTTTTATCTGTATGCTCTAAGCTGGTAATTTATGGTAACTCTTAACGCAAGGAACTCTTCTTGATTTCTGCCTTCCCCTGATGATGTCAGGTAAATTAAATCCAAATGTCTAAAGCTTATTAGAAATATTTACAGGGCTTTAATTTGGGTCCACCATTTCCAGTGTTTAACTACAAATGCTACTGCATGCATGTAAACCCTGAGATGTTCCTTTTCGATTAGAACTACAAAGTCCCCTTAGAAGCTAAAGTTGGTGCTGAAAGTGTACGAGAAAAGGATTGCGCCCTGAGAATAAATTTGTCAAGTTTTAGTTTGACTTTCAGGAAACCAGTCAATTGACAGTAGCTGCTCCTTGCAAAGCGTGGTTTAGAATGAAAATACTGGTGGGCTGTGGTTTAAGTAAGTTGGGAGGTAGACAGTAGATCCCTCTTCTGATAGGCATTAGTACTCCTCCGACATAGGTTCCAGGAACTTAGTGCTGGCGTCATGCATTGTGACAAAGCCATATCAAGATGTTGTGATGCCCCAAACATGTGACCTCCGTCTCTTTTGGGGGACACCTTAATCACTGCCAGCAGAACCCTCATTAAGGCACTGTTGATGGTTGAAACCTCTACTGTTCCTTTGAAAGTGTGGTAAAATTTAAATTTTCCGATGTCTGTGCTGCTTCCTGTGATTCTTTTGAATTTTTCAACTTGAGGCTGGTATTGATGGATGACTGATATCTCCGTTTTGTCAGACTCTTGAAGAAATCTTTTCTAACATGTTCACTAGCCAATACGTAGATGATTGGATCAGCAACGCTGTTAGCAGTGGATAAACACAGAAATGCTGCAGAAGTAGAATATATGTGCTGTTCAAATGAACATGAGTCCTTCTGATGCAAAAGAAAGTGTATGGATCTTATCAGGAGCACCAAATGGTAGGGAGCAAAGCAGATCAGAAAAATGGTGATGATGGCCATAGCCAAGTACTTCACTTTGGCTTTTTGGCGTTTGTCCAAGCTGCTGCTTATTTCGGTACTTTGGAAAATTCTGTAGTTTGTGAAAATGAGGATTGTGCAAGGAATGGCAAATCCAATTAGGAACCTGGCAAGGTTGAAATAAGCCAATTGTAAGTTGAGTGGTAAAGTCTCAAAGCAGGTTGTACGGTTTGACGTCTGCTCACCATCCTGTAAAATAAATACTGGGCAGTGGATTACTAAAACTGCAGAAAAGAGAAAGAATGTGATGAAGATTGCAGTTCTCTGATGCCTTGCTCCCTTGGATTCCAAAGCATACACCACTGCTACGTAGCGATCAATAGAAATGCAACACAAGAGCAGAATGCTGATATATATGTTGCAGAAAAAGATATATCCTGTTAGCTTGCAAGCCATTGATCCCATCTCCCAGCTGTGTTGGTTTTGTACATAGATAGCCCAGAGGGGCAGGGTACTCAAGTACATCAGCTCGCACAGCGATAAGCCAAAAAGGTAGATGGCAAGAACATTCTTCCTTCGGATTTGTACAAATGTTAGCCATGTAGTAAAGCAATTTGCTGGCAAGCCTAAAGCAAAAACAATACTGTAGCACACAACCAGCAGTATCCTGCTGTCCTCATAGGGCATTGATGGGGAGCAGACTTCCGGACTGCTGGATTCATTCATTATGGGGACGCAGTGGTGTGCAGAAACCCCAGGATAGCTTTTCCCGATTTGTGTTTCCTGTGAATCAAAAGACACGATGGAAAGTTAGCAGCTGTAAAAGACTGTTAAAAATGTGACAGCAAAGGTAAAGGTCTGACAACACAGGGCTAGATTGTGCAGCCCTTCCTCACCTTGATTTCACTGGCACTGCTTACGTGAATGGGTGCTCACCAGGACAGTTACACAAGCTAGCCCATAGGGAGTTTGTGGATGCTGCCATGTTGCAGGTGGTTTTAAACCAGAGCTACTCCACTGAAGTCAAAACTGGTGTAACGGAGTGGAGGATCAGGCCCATTGAGTTTGTGACTTCTTACGGTTTGCATTGCAGGGGTGCCTCGGAGCCTCAATCATAGACCAAGGACCCCTTTGTGCTAGGCGCTGTACAAACACAGAACAAATGGATGGGTCCAGCTCCAAAGAGCTTACAGTCTAATCGAGTTTACACTCTCTTTCCACAGGGCCCATCTGAGAACTACTCTTTTGTGACTGGGACCTAGTACATAAATCAGAGAATCTGTGACATAAACAAGATGCTGCCTTCTCCTAATTGTCTGTTTTTGTGATCAGGTTTCTTTCCCCATTTCCCACAGATCTACCACAGGCAGCATGAGTAGTGCCATATGCTTAACAGACCCCCTCCCCCGACTCTTTGCCTACATACCCGACTTCTGATTTCAAACCCTAATGGATCTGTAGGCTAACAACCTGTTTAAGCTTTTCTGTCGCTGCCTGCTGTCCCAGTGCTTTGGCAGGGAGATAGGGGGGAAATGGCACCCATGTCCTATGGAGGAAGAAGCGTCAGAGAAAGCAGGAGGCTTTGGGGACTCATGGCCAATACAGGGCCACACTGAGCACCAGTCATTTTCCCAGTTATGTATAACACAGGATTAATTTTCACACCGTTTCCCAATTAGCCACATTATTTTAAAAAAATCCCTGAAGCATGCTATTCACTGCGCAGAGTACAACCTGCACTGTTTTAGTTCAATAAGGAATAGGAATGCTTCTCTCCATCGGAGGCGCTCCAAACGCTTCACAAACTTTAAGGGCTCCATTGCACATTGGGCATGGTGAGGACCTGCACTACCACATGAGAGACTGTGCCTTGGAGCTCGTGGGTGTGCACGGGAACCGCAAGCACTTCTAAACCTGTGATGGGATGCATCCAGCTTCCTCCACATGCCAGGCCCACTCCAGAAGCTGGTATGTAAGGGGGCAGGGTCACAGCTCCACCACTTTCCCACCCACCCCAGATCTCTTTGATGCTCCACATTCAGAGAGGCAGTAGACTGCTAATCTGCTTGTTTGACATTATTAATACAAACTGTGACCGTATAGATCATTGTTGCAAGCAAGGTTCCATAGTGGCACCAAATCTTGTACATAGGAGATCAAGTAAGGTGTCTATGAAAAGGTTATGATTTGCTGGTTATGATTATGCTATCTGTACTTGTATCTCAATGTGTTTGATTTTAAATAGCATTAGTGAAGCATTTAGTCAGCTTCTTGATAAAGGAATCTTCAGATTAAGTTCCCAATCAAGAAACACTTAACTGACAATGGACCTTGGGAGACTCCAATCCACATATGAGGAGCCTCCCTGGGAACATTCAAGGTAGCACGTGAGCAATGGCTGCTCTACCTGTAAAGAACTGAGTCATGCATGGACATGTGACTTGCCCAGGTGACTCCAAACTCCACCTTCCTGCTGTGATTTTCCACAGTAAGAACAAAAGGGTCCTTCCACATGGCAAAGAATATAAAAGGCCCTGGAAACCTCTCCACTTTGGCTTCAATCCTGCTTTTTACCTCTGGAGGAACTTTGCTACATTGAAGCTCTAAACAAAGGACAGAATGACCCATCCAAGTTGTGGTTGTACTCCAGAGACTTGATTTGAGCCTGCAGCTTATTCCATCACTGCTACAAGCCTGAACCAAGAACTTTGCCATTGCTGTATGTAATTGATTCCTTTGACCAATTTTAGCACAAGGAACTCCAGCTTTGGGCTGTCCTGCTCTAAGCAATTTGTCCTGAACTGATACTCTCAGTAGTGTCCCGCCACAGGCAGCTTTGTTGCAGCGGCGTAGTCGTGCTAGGATCCACAGAACCAGGTCAATTAAGCTTTGGATCAGAACCCCTCGCTATCCAAATTGGAATTTTGGTATTGAGAGTTTTGTTGGTTAAAGATCAGTGACCATGAGAGAGAAAGCATCAGCAGAAGCAATGAAACTGCAAGCCCTGAGAGAGAGCCTGCAACTGGAACATAAACAAAAACTGGCAGAAATTCGAATGAGAGAGAAGCAAGCCTTGGCCCAGCTGGAAAAAGAAGCCGCTGAAAGACAGAACAGGGCCGCCCGGGGGGGAAAATGGGGGGGACGACAAGTGGGGCAATTTGCCCCAGGCCCCGGGCCCCGCAGCGGCCCCCATGAGAGTTTTCGGGGCCCCGGAGCGGGGTCCTTCACTCGCTCCGGGGGCCCCGGAAAACTCTCGCGGGGCCCGGGTCCATGGAGCTTCTTCCGCTCCGGGTCTTCGGCGGCAGTTCGGCAGTGGGGGGTCCTTCCGCCCCGGGACCCGCCACCGAAGTGCCGGGTCTTCGGCGGCAATTCGGCGGCGGGGGCCCCCTGCCGCCGAAGACCCCAGGCCCCCTGAATCCTCTGGGCGGCCCTGAGACAGAAGGAAGCTGCTGAAAGACAGAGAGAAGCTAAAGAAAGCATGGCTGAATTGGAAAGAGAAGCTGCTGAGAGAGAGGAAAGGGCTCGTAGAAGGTGCATGAAACAGCTGGCTGCTGAGGAGAGGGTTCACCAGATGCAACAAGAAACTGCCAGACTTAAGCTCCAAGTCCAAAAAGCAATGGAAGAACAGCAGAAACTGTATCAGCTTGAAAGTCCAGTTTATAACAATGTTGGTATGTTGTATTACTCTGAGCAGTTTTCTGTGTTTAACCCATTATGCTATGACCAGGGGGAGGGGGACTCTAACCTGGTGGGAAATAGCTGTTTGTCAGTGCAAAAAAGCAATTTGTCCTGAATAGAGACTCTCAGTAGTGTCCCACCAAAGGCAGCATCGTTACAGCTTGGTCTTTATGTGACCTATGCAAGGGGAGGGGAGGTTCCTTCTGCCCAGTCCTTGCCCTCCCCACAATGTGCACCCTGGTAAGTGCCGAGCAAAACTTGATCCTAACTAATTAACTCTCATAAAATCCCACGGAGGCAGGTAAATATCAGAGATGGGAAGTATAAGGCACAGGGAGGTGAAGTGCCCCAAGTTGCATTGGAAGCCCGTGTCTGAGATAGGGTAGAGCCCAGATCTTCTACCTGCCAGCCTTGTGCCCTGTTCGCTGGGAGCCAGATTCTGGTTCCCTCACTCCTGGGGAAGAGCACCATCCTCCACAAGAAATCTCACTGACTTCAGGGCAGCCTAGCACAACTCACTGGGGGAGGGCATCATAAGCTGGCCCTAAACCACGTTGCCTGTTTAATAAAACAAAGCCGCTGCTCAGTCCCAAAGCCGCCACCACCATCAAATGCTCCCCATCAAACTGAAGAGCAAAGGCACAAGCAAAACTCCAGGTGCTAGTGGGGACTACAGAGGCAGATTCCTAAAAGTAGCCATCATGTAGGGCCAGCCTGTGGTCCCCTTGCTCACTGGAGTCAACGGGGATACTCACGGAGTAAGGTGCGACTCACCGGGGGGGAGGGGAGAAATCAGAATTGGACCCTTCATAGATACTGTTGCCCTTTAATGCACTGTTGTTGCTCTCACTTAGGGCTTGGATTCTACCCTCCGTTCCCAGCTACTCACCCGGAGAAGCCAATCGTTTCAGTGAAGTGAGGTAGCAGTTCAGGCGAGTAAGGGAGCTAGTCAGACTCCTCATCAGAACATGGGCAGCACCTGTCTGACACTTCTTGGAAACAACAGGAAGTCACGGTGCAAATGGCCCTCGCTTTTATAAATAAGTTAAAGACACGAGAACAAAGAGAATAACGTAAACAAATGTCGGAAGTGAAGGCCCAGGAAAGGAAGAAAAGCAAAGCGCTCTGAACAGGAGGGCTAAGCACCCTGGTGGGGCCACCAATGATGAGAACAAGACATGCAGCACGTCATCAGTGTTAACCACCCTGGCCTAGGCAAGTGAGGGAAAGGCTAGCCTATAGCGTTCCATCTGGCCACCTTGACACAGCCCAGTGTAAGGGGATGTGGAGAGGAGCCAAAGTGTGGTCAGATTTGGCCATCTGGAGCTCCTGGGCACGTACAGGTAGCACACTTACTGCTCTGCTCCTTTACGGCTTGTAGCTAACTGCCCTCCCCTGCTCAGCTGGCTAGCTCTACAGCTCAATGCACAAGGGCTTGTCAGGAACAGGGCCCCAGCTCCTCCCTGCCATTCGCTTGCCCCTTTGGGGCATCTCGCACCCCTAGGGCTTAGGCACAGAGCAGCCCCTGCACTCCCCTCATGCAGGGACTGCTGTTTTGCCTGGCTTTCAGAGGTGAACATTTTTCATTTTTTTTTTACTACATTTTTCATAAAATTATGATGGAGAGAAAAGAAACCACTGGAAAGCACCGACCTAAAAATCTTCATCAGGATCTCTACAGAGTGGGTAGAAATTGCTGAGAGGTTTGAAAGCAGTCAAAATAATAAAAAAAACCCATATAACCCCCTCCGCCCCCCAACCCAATGTTTTCTTTTTAAGCAGTTCTATCCTGGCCTTTCTGTGGGATGCACAATTGGTTTGGGCAGGCTCCTTTTACTCATAGAATCATAGAATCATAGAATATCAGGGTTGGAAGGAATCTCAGGAGGTCATCGAGTCCAACCCCCTGCTCAAAGCAGGACCAATCCCCAACTAAATCATCCCAGCCAGGGCTTTGTCAAGTCTGACCTTAAAAACCTGTAAGGAAGGAGATTCCACCACCTCCCTAGGTAACCCATTCCAGTGCTTCACCACCCTCCTAGTGAAAA